GAGGGGGACCGCTGGGTGGTGATTGGCTACGATGCGGCAGGAATCTCGCGGCCGAGAACAAAAGAGAGCGTCCGGCGGGCGCCCTCCGGAGTAGGCGCTCCCGCCCGCCCGCCCGCCTGCCGCGGGCTTCGGTGCTGGGGGAGGACGCACCCACAGCCCGCCCGCCCGCCCGCCGAGCAGCCGGGCTGGCGCGCTCGGTTTCTCCGCGAAAGCCGGCCGTGTACCTAGGAATTAACCGACCGGCGCGGGAGGGGAGGGGAGAGGGAAGCAAAGCGGGGGGGATGCTGAGCGCGCGCGAGAACAATACTAAGATCGTGTTTGCGGTCGCTGCCCGAGGAGGAATTCGGAGGAGGCGCGAGGCCCGGCGCTCGCGCCGCGCCCGGAGCCGAGGGAGGCCAGTGGTGGCGGCGGCATGAAGCTGGCGACGCGGCGCCTGTAAGCTGCGCACGGCGGCGGCGGGGACCTGAGCGCGGCCGGACGTTGACGAGCGCCGATCGCCTGGGGGCTCCCCTCCCCCGCTGTCAGGCCAGGATTCGCCGGGCCTGCAGCGCCCCCCGCCCACCCCTAGCCTCAGCCGCCGCCTCGCCGCTTCCCCTCGTCGGAGCGGCCGCTCGCCTGCCCGCCCGGCTTGAGGCCCTCGGGTAGCGCGGCGCAGCCCGTCGGCCCGCGAGGGGGAGGCGGTCTCACGGCATCTTCGGCGGCAACCCAGGGCGATCAGGAAGGGGAGCGGCCGAGATGGCGCGTCCGCGGCCCCGCGAGTATAAGGCGGGCGACCTGGTCTTCGCCAAGATGAAGGGCTACCCGCACTGGCCGGCCCGGGTGAGTACGGCGGCCGCGCGCCCGCCCACCCACCATTTTGCCTTCATGATGGCGCGCCCGCCCCCTTTCCTCATCGCCTCAGCCCGGGAGCCCGAGCCCTCCGCTCCGGGACGGGCCGCGGCGCGAGACGAAGGTTCCGGGCCGCGAGCGCGACATCCTCCCCTCCAGCCTGGAAGGCGGGACTGGTCCCCGCAGGCACGGGCTGCCTTCCTCCGGGAAAGCCGATATTGACCCGAGAGCCGGCGCCTCTAGGAAGCGGGCTTGGGGCGGAGGCTTGGAGCCCGGGGCGGTAGATCCCCGGGTCTCGGGCGAACGTCGGGGCAGCTCGATGAGCGCCGTGCAAATGGCTGTCCCCGAGCTGGCTCGTGACGGTGACGGTGACGGTTGGGAAGGGATAGTGGTCACTCCGAGGCCAGCGGAGCCTCTTGGCAGCCCGTGGTCCATCGGTAGCTGCATCCTTCGCCATCCTGACTTGTTGAGTTTTCCTGGAGCGCGGTTCCGGGTGTCCCTGCTGCCCGATCATTGTCTGGATTCCTGCCTCCCTGGTACCAGTCGTTCTTCCAAACTGACACCAAATAGCCAGGTGCTTGCCGCTTGGCACTGGCCCGTGGGTCCAGCAAACACCTGATACCTTGTCACCTCCATGTTTGTTTTAGGTCGGATCCCATACCTTAACCTGGGCTTTTTACCACAATCCACAGCAGCTCTTCCTCTAACAAGGTTGTCACACTGGGCTCTTTCTCTAGAAAGCATCTGCATGTGCCATTACATTTTTTTTTTTTTTTAATTATAACCTCTTTTTGACTGAGGAAGAGATAGAATACATTCGTGTGTGCGTTGTGTTTTAAAATAAATCCTTTTAATTATTAAACCTGGAAATAGCAGTTGATGACTTGAAACAAGAAATACAGTGAAATGGAGGGTCAAGGCATCTTGGAGACTGAATTGCTATCTTTCAGGAGTAGAAATAAGCATGGGAAAAATGGGCATAGAGTATGGCTCTAAAATGTGTTATAGTTAAATACAGTCAAATGGAGATGGCCAGATGTCTGCCCCCCCCCTAAAAAAAATATACACACACATTCACAAAAGGAAGTGACATCATGGGTGGACAGATTGAAATTTCGTGAAGTTGAAGTAATGGATGGATGTGATCACTGTATTTTATATTTCCTTTGGAAAAGAATCATAGTTGTAGAGTGGAAAGTGCTTGGCCAGCATTTGGGGAATCTGATGTCTGGTTTAGGCTCTGCTAACAGCTAACCATTCTGCAACTATGAAATGATCATCTCTAGGATTCCTTCCAACACTTAACAACCTCAGATTTTAATGTGAAAAAATGGATTCCATAAAGAAGTTCTGGTAGGGTACTGGTTACGAATCAGGTTGTGAACTGCAAGGTCAGTAGTTCCAAACTACCAGCTGTTCTAGGGAGAAAGATGAGGGTTTCTGCTCTGGTAAAGATTTACAGCCTAGGAAACCCTGTACAGGGTCGCTATGAGTCGGAACTGACTCCATGCCACATAACCACTATTAGGCTGTAAAAATAATTTTTCACCATATGTGAAATGTTATGTTGTTAAATGCCATTGAGTCAGTTCCAACTCATAGTGACCTTGTGTAAGGTTTCTGAGGTTTCACATCTTTGTGGGAGCAGAAAGCCTTATCTCTCTCTCACAGAGTAACTGGTGGGTTCACACAGCCCGTCTTGTGGTTTGCAGTCTAGTCCAGCTACCTGTGTTTATGTGAACTGTAGGCTACCCTTACATAAGACCAAGTTTTCATGGTAGAGTAACTGGTTATTTTTCATAGTACAATACAAGATTGCTTAAAGTGGCAGATTTGTGACTTTTGGAATCCTTCAGAGAATTCCCCACATGTATTTTTAAAGTAAGAAATACAGCTTCAGGGTATACACATGAAACATATATCTTAACAAGTGAATTAAAACGTTACCATCATCAGTTGATCATTTCCTTACAACATAATGTTTTTCTTGAATGTTACCTAGAAAAATATCTTCTTAAAGTCAAACTTAAAATTTGATGAAATTTGTGATAAACAGCAAAGTGCTGCAGCAGTGGCCCTGGTTACATAAGTGTCATGGGACAGCTCCGTCCACTGGCATAGCATAGTTCTCAACAATGGTCTGCATCTGAGTAAAGTGAGCATTAGTATAGCATAGTTCTCAATAATGATCTGCAACCGAGTAAAGTCAGTAGAATCTGGGGATCTGACATGTGTTCCAGCACAGCTGCAGATCTGTACTTACCAGGAGCAAAGCGCTCAGAGAAGAAACAAGTTTACATGGGCCCCAACCTCAGCTACCCTGAGACCAGAAGAACTAGACAGTGCCCATTTGCTACCCCGACTGACAGTTCTGACCAGGGTCACAATAGACGGTCCCGAAAGGAATGGAAGAAAAATGTAGAGCAGAACTCAAAATCTTACTTTAAAAAACAAAAAGCCAGATATACTGGAAGTAGGAAATGGAGAGCTCCTTGAGACAATCTCCCTGAGACATATTTTTAACCTAAGACTGATCCTATCCCCTGTGATCACCTTTCAGTGAAATAGCAGAGGGACACAGAAACAATGGTGCTTTACTTTAAACCATCAGTATGAGGCCAAAAGGTCAACAATTAGTCAAAAGCAAAAATAAGATGAGGTAGAGAAACTAGAGTACTGAGAAGGGAATGAACAGAATGGAAAGAGAATGTTGCTATGTTATAGTAAACGTAACTACTGTCACTGAACAAGTTTTGTAGAAATTGTCAAATAGGAACCTAACTCGTGTAAACTTTAATCAGCTGGAGAACAAAATTGAAACGTAGAAGAGAAACAGAAGCAGTCCTGGCTATATATCTGTTGTTACTGAGTGCTGCTGAGTTGGTTTTGACTCATAGTAGCTTAGTGGTTACGAATCAGGCTGCAAACCACAAGGTCAGCAGTTTGAAACTACCAGCTGTTCCACAGGAGAAAGATGAGGCTTTCTGCTTCCGTAAAGATTTATAGCCTCGGAAACCCTGTACAGGGTTGCTATGACTTGGGACCGACTCATGGCACATAACAACAACAACTACAACAAGCCCTGTATAGGGTTTCTGAGGAGCAGTTGGTGGGTTTGAACTGCTGACCTTGTGGTTTGCAGTCCATTGCTGATCCTACAGCGCCACACCAGGAGTCCAGGTTATGTATCTAGGTAAAAAGTTTCTAGAGGTTTTAGTTCCAGACAAGGTAAACTAGAAAGTAAAATGAAACAAAATTTGCAATTCTGCCAATTCACACTTAACATAAGCTCCTCAAGGAAAGACCTAAGTCTCTTGAGAGGGAAAAAAAATATATAATAGTGAGTGACATGTTGCAATTTCTAAGAAAAGGTAAAGGCTAGAAAATGAAGAAGAAAAAGATAATTGAGTGTTGATTACTGTTTCACATATGTTCTCATTTTCTTTTCATCTCCATTCCATGGGGCATTATCCCATTTTGCACGTAACTATACCACTAGACCATAAAGTCGGTTTGAATCACGAGGTCAGTGGTTCAAAGCCACCAGCCAATCTTCAGAAACCCTATGCAAGGTTGCTATGAGTCAGAACCGACTTGATGGCGCTTAACAACAACATATCTTTGTATATATACTCCTGGTGTGATGCTGTAGGATAAGCACTGGACTGTGAATCAAGGTTGGCAGTTCAAACCCACCAGCCACTCCTTGGAAACCCTATACAGGGTCACTATGACTCGGAACCTACTTGATGGCACTCAGCAACAACATAGCTTTGTATATGATGAGATCAGATACTCACTTGAGGAAAAAATCTATTTATTCAAATGTCTAGTACTACCACTTGGTATGAAGGGCAGCTGTGACAGATTCGATTCTGTATGCCCCCATAGAATCAAATCACATGTAGGAGGATAAAACATCAGGAAGACAGATTTCAAATCATGATTTGTTGAAACGCTTTCGAACAAAGTTGGTTCATACTAGAAAGGAGATGTGAGCTCCTTGCTCAAGGAGATGTGTTTGGGCCGTCATCTGTGAGGATTGTGGGCCAAGAGGATTCTGACATCTAGAAAATTTGGACAAGTTGGATTTAACTCCTAACTCATCCTTACACTGCATGACTTTGGGCATGCTTTATAATCTTACTAGGCTTCAGTTTACTAGTCTATAAGACAGATAATTCTCACGTCACAGATTGGTTGTACATAAAAACACCAAGCAGTGGTGCTTGAATGTTTCCTTTTTCCTTTCTACATTTCTAACTCCCTTGTATCACTATATTGTTTTTCATTATAAATATTTCTCTGTCAATTTTCAACTCAGTGTTATACTCTCTTCAGTAGATAACATTGTTTTCCCCTCTATTTTATCCTGAAATTTTTCAAAATAGAGAAAATAATTGTACAGTGAGTACCCGTATATCTACCATCTAGATTGTGCAGTTAACACTTTACTCGGAAAGCCTATACAGAGTCTCTGTGAGTTGGAACCAACTAGACGACACTTAACAACAACATCCATATGTAGCATGTTTTATTTTAATGCATTTCAAAGTTATACATAAGTATAATTCGCTTCTAAACACGCACGCATACTAGTATATAGAGTTCAGGATTTCTTTTTATAGATCCTCATTTTATTCCTTTTGGAGTGAAATTTACATAGCATGAAATGCATTTATCTTACCAACAGTATTCCATTCAGTGCACTTGATAAATTTATACACTGGTACAGTCAAACCCCCTGCTAAGATAGAGAAAACTATACTGATACTTGGGATGTTCCTTCATATCCCATCCTAGTTGATTCCTGTCCCTCTTCTTCTGTTCAAATGTGTTGTTTTAACATTAAACAGCAGCTGCCTATTTCTAATGGAGTGCATTTTATTGTGTGTGGTTTTAAGAAGGAGAAGTTCCTTAATACAAAATGTTTCAAAAACAAGTCTCAGAAGCTTCTGTGTCCTATATTGCTAAAAAAAAATTGGAGCATC